TTTTTAGACTGGATATAGAAACAGTTATATCACTTTTACGCATATTCTTTAAACAGGACTCAGTCTCACAACCCCTAAAATTACAAGAATGGTTGGGAAGTACTGTCTTGCTAACATAGCCCAGGAAGAAAACCAAATGGGCATTTGTGAACAAACAGCAGTCTAGCCGCAGTCATCTTGAAAAATTCTATGTATTGTTGTTCTATTTGCTCATGGAGCTCAGTTGTCTTTTTTCCTATAGGATATATATTTCTGGTATGATAAGAAGCATGGCAGTCCTATTGCTCTCTAGAAGATTGTATTCCACATTTTTTCCTCTTTTAGATTTCTGATCTTGGGTTCTGTTCTTTTTCTTTTATTTTTTTAGTGGTGATTAGGTTTAGACAATCTGTGTCAGGCCCAAGAGCAAACCATGGGTTTCCACCTTACCCACCTCCCCAGGGTAGATAGGAGAAGTACTACTTTGTTGTATTCCGCATCTCGTCACTATTCAGCCTGCTGTCTTTTTATTCTGACCCTTCGTGAGGCCAAAAGGCAAGGTTTTCTGCACGTTGCACTAGATCTGAGTATAGAAGGGGGTGAACTTTCAGATTTGATGAATTATAATGCTTCTAATATAGAACCTCATCACCAGATTTGTGACGACAACACTGGCTGTGTATTTGACTTTACGTTTTACTTTCTAATTCCTTAGATTTGAGCAGCCTAACTACTTCCTCAGTATTGTCTCAAGAAAAAAAAGCCATACGACTTTTCCTCTCAAATTTAATTGAATCAAAATCAACTGTATTAATCAATTAGAGTCATTTATTAGCTGGGAATATACAAAAGAATAAGCCACCTCCTGTTCCTTCAAGGAACTGAGGCTAAGGAGGCAAACAGACTTTTAGCATATAAGCATTCTGCTGTGTTTATGTAATAACTATAAAACGGTTTATAAATATGACAACAAGGGTGCAGACCAGAATATTATGAGAACATAAAGAGACATTTGTTTTGTCCAGTTCTGAATGGTCTCTTAAAGGAGACAACGTTTGAGCTAGAAATTGAAAAATGGGAAAGACCTTGCTAGGCAGAAAAGGGGAGGGAATATGAAGCCTGGGTAGAGGGCATCTTGCCAAGGAAGTCACACTGTCTAGAGAATAGCGAGGTCTTGGGAGTGGCCACATCAGAGGATGTGAAGGGAGAAGGTGTAGGATGACATGAGGATTGGGAGGATAAGTTGGAATGTTTATGAAGGGTCTAAACACCGTAATTTGGAATTAGTGTTTTGCAAAGGAAGATATGAAGAATAACAAACATTACTTTAGTAGGAAAGTAGTAAGATCAGACTCACATTTTAGAAAAATAAGTCTAGCAACAGGATTGACAATAGATTACAGAATTTTAAACTCTTATGTTGAGTTTGTACATACAGGGATATTACCTTTTTGTCTTTCAAAGACATACCTTGAAGCATTGCCTTTTTCTCCCACACATTTTCTTTTTTTTTTCAAGGGCCACAAATATAGCTCTGAAATAAAAGGAGATTATGTTCTAACTAATTGAAAATGTGTTATATAGTTCCAGTGTTCTATAATGCCAGACTAACATGTATCAGATGAGCGTCTACCAATAGTAATTATAAATTCTTGACAAAATGTAAGCTATGACAGAAACTGTTTATTGGCACTAGCAAGTAACTAAAAGTAGGCTGAAACTAAAAGGGCTTCTATCTGTGGAATAAGGAAACCACACTGAGATCCACATTTAGAGACCACGTAACTTTGACCCCGAGGTTCCTCCTTAACTCATATGGTAAGTGGCTGAGAGGGATCAAACAGAAAGCAATAGTTTATTGGCATGGGAAACCAAAGGACTGAATTCAGGATTGTCAGAATAGGAATTGAGGAGATGCCAGAAAGGAAAGAGTCACAGATGGGTTAGCCCCCAAATCTACAAATAAACCCCTCGTTAATCCTTGGTTGAGTCTATGCATATGCAGAGAAAGACTCTAAGAAGCCTGGGAAGAAAATAAAAGCTAGAAGGTGTAAAGAAATGAGCAAATAATTCAGCAGCTTCTTAACTGTATGTCTGTAGAATTTGGAATTTTAGTTCTCCCCAAGTTAGAGGGGGTTGGTTAACACCTTGGGTTTCCCATTGAAACTTCAGAAGTCGCACATGATAGGAGTAAAGACTATATCTTGGGACTAAGGGATTTATCCTAGAACTAAAGGAAAAACTGAAATAGACCCACCTTAACAAAATTTCCATGTTACCTGACGGTATTTAACCGGCTGCTAGAACACACTTCAACACCGGAGGAAGCTAATAGAATCTAAAGCCTCTACCATATATTATACACATGTTTCAATATGCCATCAGTAATTACTAGACATGCAAATAAGTAAAAAGAATCCCAGAGTCAAATGAAAAATGAGTCAATACAAACAGACCCATAGCTGACCTACATGATGGAATTGGCACACAGGGACATTAAAATAAGTATGTAAAATCTGTTAAGGAGTTTATATGACAAGATAAGCAGAATGGGTGAGAAGATGGCAGACTTCAGGAGTGATAGGAAAATAGAAAGAAGATGAACCAAATGGAAATTTCAAGAATGAGAAAAATTAAATATCTGAAAATTTAAAAATTGGGATGGAATTAATAACAGATTTATCACAACTTGGTAATAAAAAGACAACAAAAATTAGCAAAAGACATGAGTAGACGCTTCCAAATATAAGATATATGAATGGCCAATATATATTTGGCAAGATACCGAACATCATTAGGTATCAGGAAAATGTGCATTGAATACTCCTTTATAGTCATAAGAATTGCCAACATTAAAAAGGCTGATAACACCAAGAGATTGCCACAGTTTGAACTCCCCATGGGTACTAAAAATACAAAAATTAGCTGGGTATGGTGGCATATGCCTGTAGCCCCAGCTACTCGGGAGGCTGAGGCAGGAGAATTGCCTGAACCCAGGAGGCGGAGGTTGCGGTGAGCCGAGATCGCGCCATTGCACTCCAGCCTGGGTAGCAAGAGTGAAACTCCGTCTCAAAAACAAAACAAAACAAAACAAAACAAAACAAAACAAAGAAAAACCAAAATGGTAACCATACTGTATATACTTTTCTAAACCTGGGATTTTCACTGAGAAGTCTTTTCATGTGAAGGACTCTGTTTACCTATAAAGCTGGCCTATTCTTTTTAACTGCTGTATTGCAGTCTACGGCATTGATAGGCTTTTAACTTTGTAACTACATGAGATACTACCATTATTGATAAGGACTTGTAAGCAAACCAGTGCTTGGAGCATCACATGTCTAGATAATGTTCAGAGTCTGGATTTCAACCTAGATTTTGTGAAACACTCAGTCTAGTGTAGTCTGGAGTGAATTAATTTTATTGTGAGTGTCTCCGAAGTTCAGGTTAATTGTCAGACTTTGCCGATATGCAAGTGGTGATGTAATCAAGGCCAGATAATGTTGTTTCCCTAGGACAACTGTGGGGCGGAAAGTGAAGCCTCCATGCCATGCAGTGGCAGCAGAAGCCAACATAGACTTTCGACAAGTTATACTTCCCTGAGTGCCAATAGCCTGTCCCATATCCAGCTTCCTGTAAAATAATAATAATGATAATGGTAATAAAGAGTAAGGATCAATTGCATGGTGTTACGAACTGTGGAGAGAAGGAGAAGTCTTCAGACCTGTAGTATTCTATCTACTTTCACATTCCAGGTACTATTGTTTTCTCTCTTTTCCTTTATTTTGCAATCTTGCTTTTTTTTTTTTTCTGTCCAAAGGGCCCATTCAATAACAACTAAAATCCCAAATTCTCAATTTCCTAATTTATGTGTCTGTGGTCTTTTAGTGTGTACACTCACACAAAGAGAGTTTTAATTTCCAGTGACATCAAATTTGTGCTTTCAAAAGGTAATTTGTGATGCCCGGATGTGAAAGGGGCCCTGGTGTAAAGCCAGAGAGCTGATAAGAGCTGAGGCTGGTCATGGACACAAAGCCTGCTCCTCTGGCAGAGTTGGAGCAGCACAGAATTTCTCCTTCGGGCCCTGCCAAGTGAGAGTGAGGGGTGGTCTTATGGGTGTTAAGCAAGACCTAATCTACCCTTGCAAGGCCCCCAGTCAGATACCCTGCAGAAACAGAATCAGGTTTGTGTCATTCTGTTGCGGGGAGCACTTGCTAAAAGGTTTGGTTTTGATTTTCATAGCTTTAATTCTACTCTTTCAGTTTTGAGTTGAGCGCCTTTCTAGGTTTCTTTCTGACCTTTTTTCTTCTCTAACCTGTTGTGTATTCAAGGCAACCCTCACCAGCTCAGGAGAGAGAGAAAATTGTGAGCATTTCTTCCCAACCCTGTGTTCAGTGACATCAAGTTAATAGCTTAAAATTGAAGTGGGAAAATGCTACCTATCAAGGATTCTCCCACCCCAGAGAACCTGTTGTTTAGCACACCACTTCTGTAACCCTTCCGCTTCTGTTCAGCACATAAACCTTCCCCTCACCACACACAGACACACGTATACACACAGACACACTAGTGTGTGAAACATTGGACACCCTGGGTTTTCTTCCAAGGGCTATGGTTATTTACAAGAAGAACAAATTGAGTTCTTTTCCTCGTCTCATCTTGAGCTTTACACTTATTTCCAAAAGCCGGCCTGGCACGGTTGCTCACACCTGTAATCACAGCACTTTGAGAGGCCGAGGCGGGCAGATCACAAGGTCAGGAGATGGAGATCATCCTGGCCAACATGGTGAAATCCTGTCTCTAATAAAAATACAAAGAAAAATGTTAGCCAGGTGTGGTCGTCCGTGCCTGTAGTCCCAGCTACTCAGGAGGCTAAGGCACTAGAATCGCTTGAATCCAGGAGGTAGAGTTGCAGTGAGCTGAGATCACACTACTGCACTCCAGCCTGGCGACAGAGCGAGACTCAGTCTCAAAAAATTTTTAAAAAAGCCAAATATAAGCTAACTTTCTTCTCTCTCCCTTAGTGGATGGCTGTATTCATAGAGCGGCTGGCCCTTGTTTGCTAGCTGAATGCCGTAACCTGAATGGCTGTGATACTGGACATGCAAAAATCACGTGTGGCTACGACCTGCCTGCAAAATGTGAGTAGAACTTTTTTGAATACTGTTTCAAAATCAGATGAGACGTCTTAACTTGTTTTACTCCAGTGTATAACTGGAAAAGGAAATGGCAGTGGTGGTATTTAATTAAATGTGCTTCAGTTCAGATTTTGTACATGGTAATAAAAAGTACTGTCTAAATCGTTCTCCAAATATATATATGTGTGTGTGTATGTGTGTGTGGGTGTGTATGCACATATATCATACACACACATATATACATATATACGTGTATCTATATGTATACACACACACATATATATACACATATGATGTTTAACCATTCAAGTCTTTGACAGAGTATCTCTGAAACAGGGAAATAAAAATATGAGCAAAATATGCCTTATAGCATTTAAGTGCCACAGAGTGACAGCTCCTGGAAATGAGAACAATTTCTTATTTCTTGTTCAGGTTTCTTGATTGTGGTTGTGTTTAGAGCAAAGGAGATCAAAGTGATGTATTGTGTTTTCAGCTGCCATGTAAAGGCTGATTGGCAATTACAGCCAAGGCATCTGTCACATTTTGCTTTCAGGAAAAGCCAATGGAATCTGCTTGTCAGTGTGAGAATGTATTTGCTCTTTGAATGTGGAATGGTCAAAATTCCCATTATATTTTAATAGAGAGAAGTATTGCATTTGATTGACCTTGTTGCTTAATCATTTAGCCAACTGGTTGAGGTCATAAGGAATAAAATATTTAAAGAGAAGCTGGTTAAAGGCATAGCCTTTTTTTTTTTTTTTTTTTTTTTTTTTTTTTTTCCTTGAGACAGTTTTACTCTGTTGCCCAGGCTGGAGTGCAGTGGTGCAGTCTCAGCTCACTGCAACCTCTGCCTCCTGGGTTCAAGAGATTCTCCTGCCTCAGCCTCCCAAATAGCTGGTACTACAGGCACGTGCCACCACACCCAGCTAATTTTTTATTTTTAGTAGGGATGGGGTTTCACCATATTGGCCAGGCTGGTCCAAACTCCTTACCTCAGGTGATCTGCCCCCCTCAGCCTCCTAAAGTGCTGGGGTTACAGGCATGAGCCACTGTGCTTGGCCTAAGGGAATAGCTTTTTTATCCTATAATCTTCAGGGCCTGAGGAAGGAGGTGGAGAGTTCATTGCAACATTAAGGTGTGCAGTGTCCTGGAAATTGATACACCAATTTGTTGATTATCCCATTCTCCTACTTCTTATGATACCGCTGATGCATTTTATGTAGCAGTGAAGCTGGTTTTGGGTTTTGTTTTAGCAGTGGAAAAAACATGAATGAAAATTTATAATACAATCTATAGGATACTATGGGTTTTATATATATACAGGTTGTCTAACAATGAATTTCCTGTGGATATGTGTGAAGGAAGACTAGTGCATTATATTTTAAAGATAGCTGTAAAAGTATGTTTAAATTTGAGGATTTGTAGTAAATAGTAATATATTAAAACAGTTTTTTAAATCAATTGAATATTGCATCCTATATTGCTCATGATGGTTTTCCAGTGAAAGTACTTTGATGTGCTGCATAAAGATGTTTTGGTCAATGATGGAACGCCTATGTGACGGTGGTCCTGTAAGATTATAATACAGATTGAATATCCCTTATCCAAAATGCTTGAGACCAGATATGATCTGGATTTCAGATCTTTTCTTCAGACTTTGAAATGTTTGCATATATAAAATGAGATAACTTGGAGATGGGACCCAAGACTAAGCACACAATTCATTTATGTTTTATATACACCTTATACACATAGCATAAGAGTAATATTATGCAATATTTTAAATAATTTTGTGCATGAAACAGTTTTGATTGTGTTTTGACTGGGCCTGTCACATGAGATAATGTGTGGAATTTTCCACTTGTGGCATCACATTGGCACTCAAAGTTTTAGATTTTGGAGCATTTTGAGTTTCAAATTTTTGGATTAGGGATTCAACCTGTACTATATTTTCACTGTATCTTTTCTACGTTTAGATATGTTTAGATATACAAATACTTACCATTGTGTTACAGTAGTTTGCAGTATTCAGCACAGTGACATGCTGTACAGGTTTGTAGCCTAGGAACAACAGGCTATATCATATAGTCTGGGTGTGTAGTAAGCTATACCATCTAGGTTTGTGTAAGTGCACCTTATGATCACACAACAGTGAAATCACCTAAGGAGTCATTTCTCACGTTCCCATTGGTAAGTGATACATGATTGTGTGTCAACTATATGCTGTTTAATTTTTCCTTTAATGACTTTTCGTTTCCTTTTCTTTGCTAAGTTCTTTACCTAGTGTGAAAGAGTCAAATCATGTACCAAATGGCTCTTCACTACTCCTTGGAATATATATTTGTGTCAAACAAACCCTTTTTGTACAATAGTGCTTAGAAGAGTTGTCTTTCTAACTCAGAGATCATGATCTGGGTATTAACAGTGATTTCCCTCTGCAGAATTATATAGCGCTATGTTTACAAGTGTTGGCTCTTTTCCTTTCAAATATGCTACTGTCATGATTTACCTAACTTACACCACCCTGAGAGCAAGCAAGATTGCTGACTGGTACAATAATAGCAAGATTATTGACTGTTTTCAGACTTGTAACTGACCTTAAGTCAAGTAATAGTCCCGGTCTGTTTTCTTTCTTATGTATTAAAACACAAATCAAATTTCTCCTAATCTGAACTTTCTAAAGAACAGTATACTCAGAGTCGTTAAATGTCCCGAAATAAAATGGTGGCTCTATCTAGTGTATGGGTTCACACTATCACACATGTGACAATTTTTAAAATATGCTTGTATCTGTTTGACATCCATCTGAATAAATTATTCAATTTCCTTTGAATGCCATTCATCTTATTTTAGGATTATTGAAGACTTGCACAATACCAGACACTGAAGGACAAAGATCAATAAGTCAAAAGAATTCCAATGCTTGAGTTATAACTTTGAACTGAAGTGTGGCTTTCATGGGCATCCTGGGGCAAGTGGATCTTTAGGGTCAATGATGTTAGAAGTGGCATGTCAGTCCACAGGACTAGCTACAGAATCCATGAGAGCTGAGATCCTGAGAGCCAACATATACTCAAGTCGCTGCATGCAGCCCACAGGGCGTGTTTAGTAAAAACTCATCCAATAGAATAGAAATTACCAGACAGGCCTTGCAGTGCCACCTCATAAAAGTCATAAACATGGAATATTTGTGGCGAGGTCTTGTTTCTTCCTGTATATTTAAAATGTTAATGATTTATATTAAAAGCATAAAGGAAAGCAAGGAAAGCAACATGAAAATGAGTAATAATAGCTTACATTTTTGTGCCACTTTACAGTATTTCACAGTACTTTCACAAGCCCTTGTATTTTAAATTGGGTTTTATAAACATTGTGTGTGTTCATTTTCCCTTTCCCTATCCCTGAGAGATGTTTTTCTTTCTCATCAGTTTGGTTCATCCATTTCAGAGTCATTAACAATCCACAGATGTGCTTTTGTAGTGAGAATGAAAAGGGAGCTCATTACTTACTGTTTGGGTCATTTTTCCCCTCCATATTTAATAATTCCATGACAGCTTGACAGCAGAGACTAGTTCCTATCTGTCCTCTGAGACAGCTGGTTTATCATTATAGGGGTACTAAAGCCAGTCATCCAGCCACAAGTGATAATATCTTCATGCATCAGCAATTTGTTTGGAAAATGCTATTGTCGAGTTACAGGCAAACTTGATAATTTTGAGCTGGTTTTTGCCTCTTTTATGCTTGCTAAATTAATCTATTCATAAATGCTTGTATTTGAATTAATTATGCTTCTATTCTGTGTTCTGTGACTCATCATGAATGGTTAGAATGATAAGCCCCAGATATTTAGTTTACTCTTCACTGCTTGGATGTTTTGAATGATTTCTTTTTGACGTTAAGAATATCCAATCATTCTTTTTAAAAGAAATCTAAGCGTAGAAAGAATATTGGTCAATATTTAATTGAAGGCTATTGCTAAGGAAATGACTTAGAAAGTAGATGGAGGATTGTTTACGTAATTGGATCTTTCGGGAATTTTCTCTACAATGTTAGATATTTTTTGAATTTATAATACAATTTAAATATTTATAGATTTTTAGAAGCTTGTTGACATATGAGACATTTCTATTCATGCTGTCGTCATTCCACCAGGCAGTCAGCTTCACATGGGCAAGATTTGTCTGTCTCAGTCACAGTTCCAATGTCAATATCTATCATAGTGTCTCCTAAATATGTGCGGAATTAATGTGAATAAATGAAGGATAAAATGAGTGAATTATTTCAGGACTTTTTCACCTGAAAAATATTAAAAAAAAAAACAAACTGTCGCCTCTACTTGTAATACTTTTCTGTCTGCAATTATTCTGCACAGTTCTAGTAAATTTACATACTTAGATCCAGAGTCCTTATAATTGTCTACAAGGCTGTACATGATGTGACCTTTACTTCTCTACATCATCTCCTTCTGTGCTCCCCCTACTCACACGGGCTGCTTTGTGTGAACCTGGTCCTCAAAGCCTTTGCGCTGGCATTCCCTCTGCTGGAGTTCCATTCCTCTACAGACCTACATGGCTTGTTCCTTACCTACTTCAGCTCTTGTTCAAATGTAACCTCAGGTGTCACCCTAACCAACCTATTTTTGATTTCTTCACTTTTAAAATTTATAATCGCATATCTATAAATTTAATCTTCAAATATGTCGTTTACTTATTTATTTTGTTTCTTATCTGTTTATGAGAGTAAGGACAGAGACTCTTTTTTTTGTATTCTTTTAATGTATTGCTCTATTCATATAGCTTAAAAAATGTCTGATATATAATAGGGGCTCAAAAGATACTTGTGGAATGAATGAATAAAATGTAACTCTAATCCTCTCAAAATCTGCTAGTGGACTTTTCCTTAAATACAGACACATTGGCCTGATTACCTTTGGCCTTCCACTGAACTACTTACAACCTTTTGTATGATATGAATTGCTCACAATGGTATGTCTATGCATGGGG